TTCACAGAATTACATTTGAGCTATGAAAAAACACACCAGCATCTTGCTGGAGAAAAAAATGCAGGTTACTGTTACTTTAAAATAGAACAGAAGTACCCTGTAAAGGAGAATACTTACCAAGAAAAAAATTCCCAGTGTTTCAGGTAAAACAAAAAAAAAAAAAAAAAAAAAAAAACAAAAAACCAAAACACCAGAACCCCACCACATATAAAAAACAGCCTGATTAATTTTACCAGAGAATTATACAATTCTATTGCAACATGCTGCAAATGATTCGCCAAGTACACAAAATCACTTGATCTCCTATTAAAAAACCCAGGTCATTTTCAAAGATTACCTCTTGACTAAGCAGAGGGCGGCTTTCAATCGGGGTCTTCCTTTTATGTTCCTCTTTCACTGGCATCAAGGGCTTGAAAAACTTTGGTGGCTGAGGAGAAAACGCTTTAAAAGGGCTGGCCATTAAAGCATTGGAATTCTCTGCTACAACACCTAGGTAAAAAAAGCAAAAATATTGTATTTCAGTTCTTCATATCTTGACTGCAAAAGCATAATTCAAAATAAGTGAAGGTTAAGCCATGCATTTGGCAAGTTGCTGGCTACAGAAAAATGTCAACACTTCAGTATTCAACCACTTGCCCAAGCATGAGATAACACAGAGCTCAACAAGGGGAGATCACACCCCTCTGAGCAGACTGGAAACAGAAGGAAAGTGGAGAATAGCAGTATCTGCCCCCTCCATTCTGAGGCTCCAACCCTTCTCCTTTTCATCTCAGTGATAAAACTGTGGGACCTGTCCTTGAAACTAGAACTGCGAGCTCTCTGCTTCCTGTGCCCCACCTGACCCCTGCCCCAACACTGCAGTTCTGCCCTGGAACCAAGCCAGCAATCCTGCACGACCAGGACAATTGAAAAGGAAATTCTAGGCAAGGAAGCAATGAATCAAGCTTCAGTCCCACTTTAGTGCAGCAGTGCGTCTACCTGCATTGGCCTGAACAAGAACAGCGTGTTAAAATTTGACCTGAAGTAAACAAGGCACCTGTGACACACTGACATGGCAGAGCAAATACCCAAATCACGTAGAGAATCTGCCAAAGGACCCTTCCCACTTTAACAAAAGCATCTTCCTTTTCAAATTCATAAAATAACAGCAGCTCCTTTTTGTTTCTTTTTTTCTTCTACTGTTTCGATTCACATTTAGCTTGTTCTTCTGCCCTCCTCTTGGTTTTTGGACACCCTCAACATCCTTCCCTGGATGTCTTAATGCACTTCTCCCTTTCTGCCCTACTTCCAGTTTATGTTTAGCTGCTAAAGCAAGAAGCTGGACAATGCATTTAGTAGGAAAAGAGCACTGAGAATTTAATTTAATTAAAAAAACACAAACACTGTCCTTGATATATACTTTGAAGCCTCACCACTGCCATCTTTGCTCTTGCGAGGTGACTCCCTGGGTAAAGTGCCATAGCATGATACATCTTGATAACTGGAAGAACAGCCAGATACATCTAGGTGATCTTCAGACCAACCCTAAGACACAAAAATATATAAATATGTATGCTGATACAGGCGGACATGGAAAAATTATTAGGTAAACTCAAAGGTAGTTTTTTTTAAAAAAGCAAACCAAAGGAATATCAAGTTACTGCCTTAAGACAATATTCTCCCACCCAAATGGATTGTTTAAAAGCTAATTAGTTTTCCAGTGAAGTATATTAAGTTTTTCTGTAACTTCCCCCTTCTTTAATATCAGTTTCTACAATTCTAATACGAAAGACAGAGCACAAAATGGTTTCATTCAAAATAATATGTGGTTAGTGCAGCATTTTGAAGACATACTATGTAAACACAGCATTAAGAATATCATTTTGCTATTTTTTTAAATTCTCAGATACATCTCGCTTCAAAGAGGGGGAAAAAAATCTGACCACGTGTACCATTTGTTGTCACGTTTGCATACCTTATCGTCTTCATCACAGGCAGAAAGATCTAGTCGGCTACAGGATACCTACAGAACACCAAGAGGCAGAATGACAAAATGCCTACCTTTTATAAACAAAATGTACCGCCCCGAGGAAACACTGTGATCATTTAGCCCTAACAAATTCTGTTATCTCTTGTCAGATAACATTATTTACGAGGACAGCTGTGTTTGCGCTGTATGAGTGGGTGATAGGAGAACACATAAAATTCACGCCAAATGGAAACTATCCCTTACACTATGAAGAAAGTTAAAGGGACTTTGAAGCAAAAGCCGTCTGAATCGGGACTGTTGTTATCCTAAACTACTTCCAGAACAAATCTCCTTATAAAAGGAGAAGAGTTTCGACCAACCCTCCCACTTCCCTGTCAGCTTTGTTCTCTCCTAGGATGGACAGTTGCGGGGAGGGGGCTGAAGTGACTCACTTTCATTCACGACAATTTTCCTACAGCTCAGTTAGTCCTAGCTCAGAGCAATCATTACCACACCACCTTGTGGAAGCATTACATCAGCACACAAAGAGCAGCCCCCTGCCCCAGCAGTACTGACTTAGCAGAGGATAAAGGGTCCTTACATTGTGGACATTTGGAGTGCTGATGCTTCTGCGGATGTTTCTTGCTTTGGTGGAGAGTGCCTCTTTGACTGTGACTGCCTGCGTAAAGCAAAGAACACACTAAAAACAATGCCACGGTCTCCTCATGACAAATGATCAAGCAGAACAGATACTCTTTTCAGGACAGCTAACAACAGGAAACAGAGCTTGCCTTTACAAATCTTCATTTGCACACACAACCACCAAAATTTGTATCTGAAATTCATTCTTTGGCCTTTGCTTGTTCAGGTTCTGCATACTACACCATTGCCAGGTACAGACCCGCCACTACTGGAATTCTGTAATTCACGGAAGTAACTCAGTCTTACATTTACCAGTCCAACGTTCTCTAAAAAACCACAACTAAAAAACAACCAACGCTTAATATTTTTAAAAGATCAATTATCTCCACTTGAATTCTCATGATCCAGCTCAAAAGGTGCAAGAAGTGCCTTTTCCTTGCCTGTCTTAGTCGTTCAAGGCTCAAAATGTTCTCCACTTGCAGCACACCACGTGTGTATTTTTCAATGTACGTTTCACCATCGGATGTGCCCTCGTTCTCACTCCTTGCAGCCATCAGTGCTAAGGTCTCGCGATCCTCAATTTCTTCTGTAGCCTAAATTACAAGTGACACTATTGAAGTTTTTAAAAATTAAAGCCTATTGTTTTTAATGTATTAATTAAATTCTTTAGACCGTCTCAATCTAGAAATTCATTTGAATCAATAATCCTTAACTTAATCGGTAATCCTAATTACAATTAATGATCCAGGACTTTTCAGTACAGATGTCAATGATGTTGAACTAAGATGAGGTCATACTTGGAAGGAGTTTTGCACATTTGCTGTAGTCAATGTACCGCTAGAAATAATGCATATATAACCTGAAATCACATATGTTAGGGATTAACTAATGGCAACTCCCTTCCCAAAGCTTAGACATTCTGTGTGATTTCCCTAGTGTTTACATTTTAAGTACTACCGCACAAAAAATGGCAATTATGTAGCAACAAGACTATTTATTTATGCTTTCATTTGTCCAGTTTGTTTACCTTTAAAATAAATTTTATAGTAGATTTACAATTTGTATGAGCTTTCTCTATAAGGCAATTCATGTTCCTGTGAACTCATTTTCCCAGCTATCCTGTTTTCCCTGACCTGAACATCCCTCTGAGCACCCTCTAAATTCTCTCTGTGGACACTAACATGATTTCAAAAACAGCTCTACTACAAGAACTCAGTTAAACCCAGAAGAAGAGAAAATAAAACCCCTACAGTTTTCAACTGTTTAAAGATAAACATGATCGCACCACTGAAGTTCAGGACATACACTTTGGCAAGCTGCCTCCTCTCAGCAAAGCAGGATATTTACTATCCAGTCAGTATCACCCACTACAGTAGGTCATTCTACTCCTTTCACTGAATTTACCAGGGAAATAGGGTATAATTTACCTTCGGTATATTGGATACTATTTCATAGGTCACTCCACAGGCATAATATATATTTTTCAAGGATATTCTCCTTTTCAGACTCTGGGTAAAACTCTAGAAACAAAGTAATTTCTATTATTGTTTTGCCAACGATTATTTATGACATTCTAAGAAATAAATTACTGCAATGCAAAAACTTGTTTTACCATAAAACCACATTTTTCAGGATCATAAGTTCCTTTTTAGCATTAATAATCTTTTCAGTACTCTTTGCAGTCCTGTGCTCAGTATACAATGCTACAAAGTTCAATCAGTAACATTTTCCTCCCATTTCCTCCCATTTGCACTGATGCTCTATCCTCGTGTAGTAACTTGTAACTGAGAAACTGTGGCTGTAAGAAGTCTCCAACGTACAGATACCAACATCTCTCATTTTATCAGCCACCTGTTCAACGTGTAGAAAACTCCTTTTGCAATAGCGAAGCGTAACTTTGCTTTCTACCCATAACGAAAATAATAACCTGTTTTCACTGTTGTAATCACAAGCTTAGCATGCTTCATTGTCAGGTTAGTTAGGCCTTATATCACTAACTGTAAACTTCACTTTGATTTAATATGGCATGATAGGGGGGATTGTAAGAAATGTGAAACTATAATAAAAGAGCCTTAATATTTTCTGGTTTTTAATAGTCTTTAGTACTGTGACTTGTATGCCTGCATGCATAGTGATCTAATGATGTAACTGTTACACTAATCCCTGTTTTCTTCTTAAGAAATGTAGTGGAAGGACGTGGGTACAAGCTATCACTTAGTTGTTAGACAAAATAATTAAGTGAAACAAAAGTGGTCTTGGTTCTCAGCAAATAATTGGAATAATTGTAGGATAAAAGAGACTCCTAAATAATTCTACTCCAGAGAGCTCCGCCTTGGGAGGGCAAATGCGCCAAACTATAAAGATAAGGAAGCACCAAGAAAGCAACAAGACTAAAGCCAAACAACCTGAAAGACATGATATATACGTGATCCTAAAACTAAGTTTGAGCAGAAACAAATGTCAATCAGTGAACAGTGTGATGAAAAAGATGGGCCTTCATCTTGGGACCCCCAAAGACCACCCAAAAATGCTAACAAACATGCGTGAAAGATATTTACATATGCTAATTAGTTCTCAGAAACACAATAAATATTTACATATGTGATTGTATTTGACCTAAAGCAACAGGGTGTCTGGCGTGCATGTTTGGAGGAAAAATCCCCTGTGTGCCCGGCGCTGCAATAAAGAATACCTGCTTAACAGTACACATTGTACTGTTAAGTTGTTCCTACCGGATCTTCGAATCAGGCATTTCAGACAAACAAAACCAGCAAAATACTGCACAACAAATCTAAAAAGGCATGGAATTCAGCTGCTTAGTAAGTTGCTTAGCAGTACAACAGCTGTTTTGTGCTCCTCCCCACATTGTACTGCAAAATCTGAAGCAATTCTGCAATGTGCTCTTGGTCTCAGTCATCTGGGACACAGAAAGGAACACGATTTCAGAGAGCATCTCGTTGTCTAAACCTATGAAGCAGCAATGCAAGGGGAACAGCAACCACTCCTGTAGACAAAGTTAATGTCCTATCAGAGATCATCACGTAAAAGTGGGTAGATACTGTACACATTTGGGTAATGATGGGAAACAAGCCTAGTCTGTACTGAACAAAGTAGCAAAGAAAACGATACATTGTGTTGACACTAAGCATCTGAAGGCCCAAGGATGCTTTACAGAAACAGAGTGGCTACAGTGACCCTCTATCAGCTGCTGCAAACTTCTCTGAATCAAAGAATGTTTTGAGTTGTATAGACAAGAAGGTAAACTCCTTTTTGCTTAGAAAAGTAGCCCCTGTTACGCTCTGAACGAAATCAGGTTTAAAAATGGACAGTTCAAAGGGATATACCAGAAGTGCAAAGCTTCACAGCAACCTATAATATAGTTATCATTTGTCTTTCGTAAGAATGGGAGGGACCAAACTTACACAAAATGAAGCAAGCAGCTAAAAAGACATACATAAAATTTAAGATACCAAACAAAATTAATAATAAAAGAATATATTAACTTCTTACCTGCTTGTTATAAATATTAGCAGCAATTCTTTTGCGTAATACCAGTTCCATTGCAGCAGGATGGCTGAGCTGCACAGTAGTCTTCACTATCAAGTAAATTCTCTCATTTTGAGGAGTCACCCTATTCAGGTGCACTGAATCATGGACAGAAGAGTCCCACGCAGCAGTGGCCGAAACCTGTGCAGACAAATAAAACAGAGGAAGGAAAGGGAAATCAAAGACTCAATTACTCTAACAAAAGGTATAATTTGCAGTGATATAAGACGAAGTAAAGCAATTCTTTAATGAAAGAAAAATAAGCAGCATTGAACAAGATGGGGTCAAACCTCCTTTGCATAGTGAGGAATTTATCAGAAAAAGCGTAAGAGAGGTGTTAAGATATCGTGGAACACAGCTGTGAGCACAATCCCCGAGTTGTGCAAATGCTGCTTCAGAAGGAAGTCTTCACATGGAGGCAGAGAGGAAAGCAGAAGCAAGACTGGAGGAAGGAATATAAATGCTATTGCAACTGTACTAGAAGTTTAATAAAATTTAATGGAAAATCTTCAATCTGTATTGGATTAGGTTACAAAGGCCTATACAGAATAAACATGTTCCCATCCTGCAGAACATCTTTTTCGTCCCCCAGCCTCCTCCCCAACTTCAGCATCCCGTTTATTCTGGAAATGGTCCCTCAAGCAACGGCCTGAGTTGGCACAGAAGGTGGTATAAAAAAGTTACGAAATTCCAAAATGGATGCAGAATCATTCATTCCCAACAATTCCCAAACTTTAAAAGAGTAATTGTGTACTACAAAGGAAAAAGTTTCACTTAAACATTCAGCTTTGCCTAGTGTGCACAATAAATGAAGTAGTTTTCTCTGAAGAATCAAGAGCCTGCAAGAGGAATGATGAAGGGGTGAGTAAAGAAGGGATTTAGAGTCAGGCAGCTGGATTACTCTTCTGCCAAGCAGAGTTAAGACTCATCACCTCTGAATTAAGGCAGAAGGGCTAACAAGTCATTATCCTCTTAAAATTGAAACAAATAGGACAGAAAATAAAAGCAGCACTAGATACAGATCGTACCTCTAAGACAAAAACACAGTAATAACAGTGATTAAATACATACAAGTAGAAAATACACATATGAAAAAAGTGTTTGTCAAGAAGGAGGCTTGCTAACAGTTTACCTCATCATCACTGTGTTTTATGATCGGCAGATAAAAGAATGGACTCCCATGCTCCTTTGGTAGTATTGAGTTAACTCCTGATGCATGGGGACCTATAAGTTGTTCATTGGCACTGAGGTCATCAGCTAATGAAACAAATGTGCAAAGAATGAAATAGTTTTATACCAAAGGATATTAATATATAGAGGCAAAGTCGTAATACAAAGCTGTGATAAAATCCTACCCATATTTTGTAATTCATTAAATCCTAACTAAATTTATGACTATGTAATATTTTGAAGACAATTTCAGCATACAACAGAAGGGAAGTAAAACCACGCTAAGACTCGGCCTGAACACATTCTCACATAACCTAAATGGAAATCAAAACTATTTCTAGGTATTCATAACGTTAATTTACCCAGCCAGAAAATTTCTGATTTATCCACCTGTCAGCCTAACAAGCTTCTCTCTTAATCAAATCACTTCTGATGTATTGGGGAATCTTTAAATTGAGAAAAGCAGTTCTGGCTACACTAGGCTTTTAGCTAAACAAGAAACAGTTGTGCAATGATCCATCAATCTATTTAAATGTCCTGTTTGATCTTCTGTCTGCTAATCTCTGCTGATAACAAAAAAAACAACTAAAAACATTTCTTGCAAGCAGAAAGGAAGGCGTGCACATTGCTTTCCAAAAGCAGCTTCTAAAGCAGGTATTACTGTGGTGCCTATGTAAACACCACCAGCAGCCCACCGACGTGCTGGATGTGACACAGCCTGTGGATCCTGCTCTGCTGTGTGTCCAAGTTCATACTTACAGACTTGTTTCCTAAACAGTCCTTAAACACGGTGCTAACTCTAGCCTCCTATTGCTTACGGTGTATGTGTGTCCTAAGAACACACAACGATAGTCTTCTCATGTGTAAAACTAAATATCTTCACAGGGAGAACATTTAGATTCTCTAACAAAATGGTCACTGTAGTCCTAACACACTCTTCATTAAACCAGCTGTTTAAGCCTCTAGAGATAGTTACTCCAACATACAGAATCAGAAGAAAAATATTTTACAAGCCATATCAGTCAGTGCCATTGCCAGGACTTGTTCTGATTTCTTAAGACATTTCAGATTCGTTCTTCCATTTATTGATTTATTGGTCCAAACTAATTTCTCCCCCCTCAGGTTACTTAATCTGCTGTTACAACATACCATTCAGATCAAGGAAGAGGACAGGTATATGTGTTTCCATTCCCGCAGGTGGAATCCTGAAACAAAACAAACTACTGTCAGCAAGGAAGAAAAATACATACTTCAGCTCATCTGGGCAAACAGCTCTCCATGGAAGATTCATATAAACTGTAACCAATGATTTGTCCATTTTGATGGCCTACGTTTTTTTTTAATGCCTATGTTGCACAGACAATGTTTTGTTTATCTACACCACAAATGTAGTGCTTACAAAAACTTCATACACACCTCACAGCACCTTTCAGCTGCTATGAGGATGATGAGTTTTAAACATCCTGTTCTGTTTCTTCTGAAGTTAACTGGTTGTAGTCATCTCGTACATAAAGGTTAGCACAACCCTTCAAACAACTGGATACGTAATTACTGGCAAGGCGTAGTCTTTATATCAATAAATACACTTTTCCCTGTATGACCACAGCACACTTCAGGCAGATAAGGGCAAAAAAAATGGCGAGGAAAGATTATCACTACATCATTCACCCAGTGAAGAAGAGATACTAGGTATTATCAGAGATATCAGTGGACACTTCATTAGAGACTTCTTTCTTGTCCACACTTTCCCAAACCTAACATGCTGCATTCGTAATTTTTGGATGCCCTTTCCAATGATCTTAGTTAAAACACAAAATTAAATGAAATGAGAAAATAGAACACATCCTTTAAAATCAGAATTTATTCCCTCCCTACCCCTTATCAATGAAATTATCACGTGTTCTACCGTTCATTTTTGAACCACTCCTTTTTTGAAAGAAACCAAACTACAGGATAACTCTCAGAATTTTGAAAAAGTATAAAATATTATGTTGAATTCAAAGGTGATTTTCAAACCTTGAAAGCTATCTCAAAGCTACTTTATGTAGTATGTTAGCTAAGCAAACCTCTCTTACATTCAGACCAGCACCTGACCTTCTAGCCTTCTGCCAGCTCAGTGTAATTGGCAGCATTACAGGAAAACACAGAAAGCGCTAAAACACCCTCAGATTTCTACCTTGTAGCGTGCAACATTCATGTAGAAAGAGCTAAGCACTCCATTATTTTTTTTTTTTCTGAACATACCAATTTGCAGGGGCACCGGGAATTCCACTGCCTGGTGCTGGAACAAACACTGCATTCCTCTCTTCTGTCAGCCCTACCCACTGTTCAACCAGCCGGGTTTCTCGTTCTAGATCATCCTCAGATTTTTCTATGGTGAAAGAGATTAATATTATATATGAGATACAGTTTTGTGGGAATAGGAATAGAGAATAACCTACTTATTACAGCGACTTTAAGCTTCAAACCTTGTTTATTGCTGATCTTTTGAATCTGCTCATCCAAGTATTCTCTGCGTTTTATCAATGCATCAGACCACCTTTCTCGTACACAGTTTAAATCTTCTTCCTAACATGGAAAGAGAAAAGTTATTAGGCTACGTGGTTAAGATTAAAGACCAGTGAATTTTGTGATAATTTAATCAGAATTTATATTAAACAGCTTGCATGATGCAGAAAACTTTTTTCCCCGAATGACATGCACGCTGATTAAGTAGCTCATCACCCATGAGTGGAAGCTTATTTGCTTTCAAGTCTCAAATTCCAACAGGAGGAAAAGAAAATGTGACTGCCTCAGCTGCTGAGCAGGATTATACACCACAGGCCAATTACTCACAGAAGTGGCAATCAAACTTTTTAACAGCATATGGAATAGGAAAATCACGTAGCACCACTTGATCGTAAGTTCTCCTGAAGATTAGACAGGTCAGTATGCCCTCAAACCTGCACATAATTCCATGGCTAGCAGCTGCTATCAGTGCAATTACAAGATTTCTCATGCAAATAAAACCCATCATGCAACCATGCTGTGTGGTATCACAGAAAATCTGGTTCGTTCTTCTCTGTGATAAGTCAGGAAGCGCATAAACAGCCCAGAAGAAGTTAGTACCTAACTGGTATCTTTGAGACTGCCGTAAAACCTAATACATTATCTTAAGGGATGTCAGCATTCTCACCTAAGTGGTTTTACTTCTGTAAAGCTGCCTATTAGAAATAAGACTTCCATGAACAGATCTGTAATGTGTGTTTACTTTTTTAGACACTTCCTCTTTTGCCCTTTGTTGCCTTTTAAATGATTCTTCTGTTACGCTTTCTAAACTGTGACTGTCCTATACTTACTTATCACACAAAAATCCAGGCTCGAGGTTTGTCTTTGTCCAGATAAAAAAAACCTGCTTCACTGAAGCTTCTGTATTCCCCACACTTGCATCCTCCCCTCTATCCCACTAGCACTTCAGGAAACTGCACAACTGTAAAAGGTTACAATGTCTCCTTTAGAAAACAAACAAAAAACCCTATGATGTATAATGTGGTTGGGAAAGACACCTGCAACTGCAGGTGGGTGTTCTTTTCCCTATGATATTCACTGGAGACTGTTTTCAATCTAAATTAAAGTTTCTAGGCTTTTATTCACATAGCAATTCACGTAGCCAGTTAGGAGAGCTGACTGCTGAGTACTAGAGAAGAGAGCATACTGCAAGAGTGTAAAGTCACAAGGTAAACTGCAATAGCAGTGTTTTATAGCCTGGATAGCCTCTTAAATGCACAGCACATATATATTTCAAAGCTGCTTTTGCTTGCTCCAGTACGCTTGTTCATTTGAAAGTTGCTGGCTATTAGCATTAGCTGTGCCCCATGCCATAGGATTGACAGCAACAGCAGCAATACCTGGTAACTATCCATATCACCACCATCATCCTCCTCCTTCTGGTAGGAGAAAATAAATTTTGTAAAACACAAAAGAACATGCATTTCTCTCAACAGAAACTCGTAGAAATACCCCAAAACATGAATATAAACATTTCTGCGACACACAAACTTGTAAAATGTTAAAATCACAACATTCAAATTACTAGTCTTATTAAAACGTAGAAACAATTTTTTTCATTATAGACTACAGCATCTCACCCACGATTTGAGTATTAGTGAATATATTTATTAAAAAAAAATTATCATAGAATACAGTGCCAGAAAAAGGACTGAGCAAGCAAACCACCAATCTTCACGTTTTACAGTTTCACCTGTATTTAAGGCTACAATTACTTGTGGTTCTGAACACAACCCTTCTGACAAAAGGCACCTCGCTTCCCTGGGTGGCCCATTCCACTTGTTCTTTGCCATCACTGTTAAAAGCATGTTTTATTTCCAATATGAGTTTGTCCAGCATCAGTTTGAAGCCATTTATACTTCTTACAAACTTTTCCTCCTAAACAAAATAGCCCTTTCACATTCAGTGATGGCTGTTTCTGATTCTGATCAAGTAACAGCTCAGTCCTTTTTGAAAAGATGAAAAGTATCTTCACTGTAAGACATCTTCTCTATTAATTTTTTTTTTCCTGCTTTTCACCTCCTCCACTTTCACCTAATAGAGCTAGGAATCTACTATTAATTATCTCTACACACAAAGGTAAAAATGTCCATATTGCTGCTGCTTTGTGTATACTCAAATACCATACTTAGCTCTGCATCAGTTATACACCGAGTTATAAACAAAACCAGAGGCGGATTTAGCACCATATGCTCCCGGTACACATATTAGCCTCAAACACACGTAAAAAAATGCCAAATTACGTATCATGTATCAGCATGCTAAGGTTCCTTACAGAACTATGTTGGACTGGCTCTAGAACAGCGAAAACAAAACAAAAAAATAAATCTATGTATGAAAAAGTAACTGTCTTACCTGGTAGCTGTCTAAGCCCCTTTGCAGTTTGGTAGATCTGGCAGTCACACCACCTACAGAGACTGAAAGAATTGCTTCTACCATGAGAGGTAACGTTCCCGAATGTTGTACAGGTTTCACCGTCACCTGAACTCTGCGGGAATGACCCTGAACAAGTAATTAATAGATGGAAAGAAACAGAGAGAGGGCGAGAGAAAAACAGAGAGAAACTTAAGAATAAAATTAAGAATCAATTTAAGCACACGTAAGAAGATAGGGAAAGGATATATACCTGCCTAAGCTGGAAAATCCCCCCTGTGTTTACATCTTTTGCCTGATGGAGTTCAACTGCAGTATATTCTCCCATCTCATTCAATTCTTGTATGGAAATCCACATTTCTATTCTTCGAGTTACCTCATTCCACCTACAAAGACATCCCCACAAAAACTAATGGTTGCCTCACCAAACTGTATTTTGTGTACAAGTATCAGAAAGCCTTTTGAAAGCTGATGGAAGCATTTATGTGTAATTTGCTTGTACCTGTCTCTCAGTGTCCTAGTTTTAGCATGAAGAGAATCAACTTCCCAAACAGAGCTGCCATTGCCAGTACACCTGTGACCCCACACCTCAATTGCAAGAGCTCCTTCTGAAATGAACTCCAAAAACTCCTCTGTGACATTCACCACATAGTCCTGGAAATGAGAAAAACAAATCACATCCAAACAGATGAAATAACTGTATCTCCTCAACTAGTTCATAAGGACACACCAAATTAACTACCTAACACGACTAACATACTACTAACACAACTAACTAACTGCCTGGTAAAACCATACAGTTTGGATAATAAAGCTCAACTCCGGTCAAGAAAGTTGTGAAACATATCATCTCAGCAATTCCTGCTTCTGCATACTGCATTTCATGCTTTGAAAATTTCCGTTAAAACGATGTCACAGCTCCAATGATCTTTTTTAAGCTACCAAGCTTACCAAACAAGTTCATGATAAGATGTCATTACATAAACTATAGTCTTCTCCATGTGTTGAATATGACATCTGAATTTAAAAGACCGATAATTAAAAGGTTTTTTAATTTTGCTGCATTTTGAAGAAGAGATGAAGTGAAATGTTATTGCATTCTAAAGTATAGTCAAAAATCATTCATTAGTTACATGACTTCCTTCTTCCCCCAGCGAAACAAGGATCCGTTTTTATAAACAGCTTATCTCAAACATACCATCCTCCTGGTAACGCTATTTCATAATAAAAATAGTTACCTTACAGTGAGAGAAGGTCACTGTAAAATGAGCATCCTTGCTCTGAGGTGAAGGCACATCTGGATCTACCACTGGTGCTGCTACTGTTGACTCACATTGATCCCAAAATGTATATTGACAAAAGACGAAGTTGGAGAGATTAGGTGGCAGTCCAGTTGCTTCTTTTATTTTTACCTGAGGAGACAAAAATAGATCTTCTCATAAACATGACTGTTCCTTCTTCAATCGTAAATTGTTCAATAACTAAACATTTAATCCAGAACTACCAACAGCCAAGAAGAATTTTTTAAGGACACTGCCAATTCCTCTCTAAGGATGTCCCTATTTAGGAAATCTGTGCTTTGCCTATACAGAAATGCAGATGCAAAGAAAGCAGTTACATGCATCTAACTAGCCCACCCATGTACACATTTCCTTTGAGGAAGCCAACAAGCTCAAGAGGAGAATGAAGCACTTCCGTCACAGAAGAAATGAAATCCAGACACCAGCCATAGACATTACAGTAGATGATCAAAGAAACCACAGGAGATGGCTACACAGAAAAACTGCTTCCCTTTCCGTGTCTGCCAAGGAGGACAGTCCTTGTAACATTGGTATTTATAACGTAGACCTGCATATACTAGAAACTATTGTGAATTAATCTCACCACTGGGAACCACAGCCAGTTAGACTGAACTACACTGAACTGGAACAAGAGAAGAATGTCTCTTTAAAGAATTTTAAGCAAGCAATAGCCTACACAGCTTAGTACTTTACATCAGACCGACAGCATAGCTACAAGGGCCCAAAACCGTTAACTTCGTCATGTGTTCTCACTTACCCTGCAAGAGAGTTTTTTCGCTCTATGAATAATTTCTCCATTGCTATCCGTGACTTCCAGGCTCCCACTCTCACTGGAGTTCTCGGACGAGTCATCTCCTTCCACCACGCGTTCTGGGACGGACCCAGTGACCCGCATGACCTCGACGTGCAGCCGTCCTGCAACCTGAGGCGAGACGAGCACTAAGAACCTGCGTACAAGGGACTCAAAGACATTAAGCTGGTGGACACCGAACCCCGGGAGGTGTGCAGAACAGAGCCAGACAGTGCTCAACCACCAAATGGAAAGCAGCAACGTCAAAGAAGAAGAGAAAGGAATTTAAAATTGTTTGTGTGCAGGACCACTGAGCTTTTTCACTCAGACCCAACAGAAAAGGCGCACAGTGTCACGACTGCACTCAGAACCCTCACGGGCTGGGCTCTGCTCCATTACCGACGCTGACAGGGGAATTTCAGCCTGCGGCTTCGGCAGCCAGGCCAGCAGCCAGACCA